AGCAGAAGCTCAAACACAAGGGAAGAGGTTGGCTTTAATTCTGTTGTCTGCTCCTCTTCTTCGTTTTTGTTTCCTCTCTCTCTCCTCCTCTCTCTCTCTCTCTCTCTCTCTCTCTCCCTTTCTCTTTATATTTGGATTTGAGTGCAACTGTTTGGATTGCCAGCTTTCTTTGTTCTGTAGTAGAGGTAGAGTTTGGAGGTTTTCCTTTAGGGTTGTATCATGGATGTGTAGATTCACACCTCATGTACTAAGATTTGGGGTCTTTCTCTCTTCATCTCTTTGGTTCTTTTATTGTCTTTTAGATCTAGAGAAGGGGTAGCTTGAAGATAATTTGGGCACAGCAAAATAGATACATATATAGAGAGATAGAGAGAGAGAGGGAGAGAGAGAGAGAGAAAGAACAAAGGGGAGATCATGGTCGCATATTGGGTAGTGATGACTCGTTTATGGTTCTGATTTGGACTCACATCAGGATCCTTACAGCCACCACAAAGAACAGCTTTTGCTGAGGATAAGAAGAAGACCAAGAAGGCGGTGCTGTTGTTCTGCTTTGCTTTAGGAAATGGCAGCCGCTTCTTCGTCGGTACCGTTCCTTGGATTCAGAGAGGAAGATCAGTCCAACACGCAGCATCCGCAACAGAAACAGCAATCGTCGAGTTCATCGGCAGCTGCTGCTCGACCTGCATCTCCTCAGAAGAAGAAGAGGACCCTCCCCGGAAATCCAAGCAAGTACCCAACCTTCTACGGACTTTGATCTTTTCCAAACCCTAGTTCGCTCTCACACCGTTCTTTCTTCTTGTCTTCACCCAATTTCATCAACCATCTGATCATAATCTCTGAGTTCTGATCAAAATCAGATCCTGACGCGGAGGTGATCAATTTGTCGCCAAAATCACTTCTTGCAACCAACAGATTCATCTGCGAGGTGTGCAACAAAGGGTTCCAACGCGAGCAGAACCTGCAGCTGCACCGGCGTGGCCACAACCTGCCATGGAAGCTGAAGCAGAAGAACCCCAAGGACGTCGTCCGCCGCCGCGTGTACACCTGCCCGGAACCCTCGTGCGTCCACCACGACCCCTCGCGCGCCCTCGGCGACCTCACCGGCATCAAGAAGCACTACTGCCGCAAGCACGGCGAGAAGAAGTGGAAGTGCGACAAGTGCTCCAAGCGCTACGCCGTGCAGTCGGACTGGAAGGCGCACTCCAAGACCTGCGGCACTCGCGAGTACCGCTGCGACTGCGGAACCCTCTTTTCCAGGTACTATATCCGCCCATCAACCCACCAAGCCATCAAATCGAATCCATGATCGGCGCATTAGCATTCAATTCACGGTGATGGTTGTGGCACTTCACTCCCCCGCACAGCAGAGCTGCGCATGATAGGGTTTCTCGAGTTACAGTTGGGCTTAGGATTCCCAGTGCACCAAGGAAGAAGAAGGTCCGGGAACGCAGTCAGGAGAACTGCTCCCACGTGAATTGGCTTATAGATTTCAGACAAAAGGCACTCATCCTTCTCCTTGAAACCAACGCCAACCCCATTTATCTCTTCCCTTCACGTGGTGAATGCCATGGTCGTTGTCTTGTTCGTCGGAGGTATACAAGACAACAAAAACTGACAAGTCGTTTGGAGATGTGAGTCTACAAAGATTCTGATAATCTATCATAAATTTTGTTTTTATTATTTTTCGGAATTGATCATAATATTTCGAGGGTGTCGGCTAATCTAATTGGTAAAGACTTTGACGATCTATAGCAAAACTTTGGATTCCAATCTTGTCTTAGTAAAATATGGTTTATAGAGTGCTAACTTGGCGACTAATACTAATTTCATGTTAATTAAGCTTGTTTTGTTAGCATCATTACGAAGCATTTGTCTGAAGATTAATTCCTCTGAGGTAAATGAACTCATTGTAATTAATGCAGGCGTGATAGTTTCATCACCCACAGAGCCTTCTGTGATGCGTTAGCACAAGAGAGTGCGAGGATTCCGGCGGCCATGTCCATCGGCAGCCATTTATACGGCGACAATGGGATCAATTTAGATCTTCCTCAGGTGAATTCGCAACTCTCGTCCTTGCAAGATCAAATCCGGCTCGGTGGCGGTGCAACCCAATTCGATCACCTCACTATGCCGTCATTTCGTCCACCTCCGTCTGCCAGCTCGTTCTACCTTGGTGGCGGCTCCGGCCACCAAGACTTCAATGAAAGCACTCATGGCCTACTGCAACTCAAGATCTGCAGGTTCATGCCAGCTCCTCATCTGCCGCCGTTGCTTTTGATATCTTCGACCTTGGCATCTTCTCCAACAGCAGCAACAGGAACGCCATGGCCGGTAGCAGCAGTGCTGGGATGAACCCAAACGCTCATCTCCTGATTCCTGCTCAACTTGGCAATGCTAGCGGAAGCAATGAGCCAACCACACTGTTTGCAGGAAATCTCATGAGCAATCATCTCGACCCAAACATGTCTTCCGTGTACAACCACTCCATGAGCAAGGAATCAATACCACCGCACATGTCGGCGACTGCACTTCTCCAGAAGGCTGCGCAAATGGGCGCCACGTCCAGTCGTGGCACTGCAAGCTCCTTACTCAGAGGACTCGGCAGGTCATTCGACGGTGTTAGAGAGAGTTCAGCAAGTCAGCAAGAGGACGAGACCCAATTCCAAGGCCTTATGAGTTCCCTCGCTACTGGAAACAGTACTGGTTCATTCGGTGGTGGTGGAAACGAGAGCAAGTTGCAGGGATACCCATCAGCCACTGGCCGGGGAGCATCCGATAGGTTAACCAGAGACTTCCTTGGGGTTGGCAGCATGATGAGGAACATGGGGAGAGGGATAGCACGAAGAGAACAGCATTCCGGCATGGACATCGACGAACTGGATTCAGAGATGAAGTCTGGATCCTCTACTCCATCTTTTGTCGGTGGGAATCTGCAATAGAGATTTAGGGACTCAGGAAGCTGTCTTTGATACTCTCTGTACTGTGTCACTGTTAATCTTGGTCGGTAGGATAGGATCCAGATAACTTCATCTTTCAGGTTCCAATAACTTGCATTTGCCTCTCAGAACAAACAAGTCTTCTTCTTTCACGGAGTTACTGGAAGCTTAACTTGATGCATGGTTTACACATGTCTCAGTCACCAAAATGAGCCTTCCATGGTAGCATGCACCACCCATCCTTGGATTCTAAGACGCGCGAGAGAGAGAGAGAGCGAGAGAGAGAGAGAGAGGACGCAAGTAAGCATAATATAATCCACATTAGGTGAAAAGAATGTTTTGACGTGTCGTACATACGTATGTCATCACCCACAATTCCAACCACTGCTTTGAAATGCGATAACCATGCGTTGACCACGGGTCGCCGTCCACCGACAGATTTGACCGGATTGGCCACGTCAGCCTGCACCCCCGACATCGCTAACCCTAGAACTTCTGCTAGGTATTTAGATTTCCTCCTTCCAAACAAGTCGGATAGTTATCTCTTTCTTTTTCTATCATCTTAAAGAAAATAATTCATTATTGTCATTCATCGGTATTAAAAATTGGTTTAGTCAAGATATTCATCATCAGATATTTATATTTTAATTATATGAACTCGATACAAGTTTTTACACAGTGAAAGCATATTATACAGAAACAATTTATTTGATTTATCAATAAAATAAATTTGATTGGCTTACAGATATTTTGCATATCTCACATGCATCAGTCATTGCTCAGTAAGCATTGGTTAAGCCAGCTAGAGAGAGAAATGTCTTCTTAGAAATGGAATTCACATGTTTGACTCACAACTTTGGTGCTTGAGAGAGAGAGAGAGAGAGAGAGAGAGAGAGAGGGATATATATATATATATATATATATATATATATATATATATATATATATATATATATATATATATATATATATATATATATATATATATATATATATATATAT